AGACAGCTGTGGCCACTTTCTGCCAAGTCTAGAGCCCAATGGAGCTCTTGGCATAGCCCAACCTTGTCACTTCGTATTTCCTTTGTTGGAGATGCTGTGGTGCTTTCGGCACATTCTCAGTGCTGGCTCACATCTTGTTTGCCTGCAGTTAGTATCAGCTTCCATCCTGAGAACACAAAGGTTTGTGTGCATTTTCAGAGACCAAGAGCAAAGTAGGGCAAGTCTTCCTTGGAGATAGCCAGGGAGAAGCATCATGTCAGGGGCAGGGCTGATGGGACAATTTCTGCTGCAGACAGGGGTGTGCACAATCACAGAGGACTAGGACAGAGAAGCGAGTCCCTGGGGAAAATGCCTAGAAGGAAGTTTTCCACAAACCTCAACACCTTCTGCATCTTTGTCCTATGCTTCTTGCAGGAGGCCTGGTAGGCGCCACAGGGGACAAATGATCCTTTAGTTCTAAAGTGAAACACTTTGTCTACCCTTAAGGTGCAAAGAGCCTACTGGAGAAACAAATTCTATTTATATACATAGCAATAGAAGGCTCCCAGCGATGAGCTCCCAAAATGCACTAGTACTCGTAAATGTTTATTATTTTTATCCTTTCTCTTTTACATCAAAATAATTGTCCATAAATATAACACATCCCCAAACCCTAGTTATATCAATTCCTCCAATTTCCACTCGTGTTCTTTCTTCTGCTTTTCTACTTGGCTTTTGGATCCAACACTTTTTTAAAAACTGCATTCACACTGATGTTTACCCTTTTTTATTTCTGGGCTTTAGATCATGTTCAAATTAAGAGAGATGATTTAAAATATGATCTTAAAATATGAGTGCAAGTGGCAGACAGTGGCTATATGGTAGAAAGCATATGGACCAAGCTAATTGGGAAATGGGGGTGGAGAGCACAAAACTCCAAGGGAAAGAAATCAGCTTTGACTCAGCTCAAATATTAGTTGCAAGCCAGAGAAGTTGGCCTAGCCTCAATTCTTCCCTTGGTTGGATGCAATATATGATTGGTGCATTTTCAAAAAAGGGGGGAAAAAAACTCCCATCCACATGGTGAGACTCTAAGCATCTATCTTCCATCCCAGTGACAATGGGCAATCATTCTTTGCATTTATTTTTCAACATTGCATTTGCCTGTGAACAAAATTGAAGCTGGCAGAAGATGGTTCATGTGAATTACTCCAACAACAGTTTCTCATTGTGTCGAATTACACTGAGGCCGCTTGCTGTGAAATGCTGCCACAGCCCAGTAACAGTGGAAGGTATTGTCACTTCTTTCCTTGCATGACCATGAAGTTAACCCACTTCTGTCCTACAGAAATAAACTCACGGTCCGTTCTAAAGTGAGAAAGAAAAGCTGTTCAGATTCTAATCACATTTCAACATTTAACTATAGCTTATTAATATTTTAGGGATCAAAAGTCAATTTATCTTCCCATTTTCCAGTCTTCTTTTGGCTTCCTTAGATTAGATTTCAGTCGCTTCTGAATGTCTGGAATAGCTCTAGTAGCCAACAAAGTTAAAAATCATGGAACCACCGGCTTAGTTAGAAATATTTTTATCTGGGCTGGGGATTTAGCTCAGTGGTTCTGCCACCTGACATGCAAATGCAAGGACCTGAGTTGATCCCCGGTTCTGAAAAAAAAAGGAAGAAAGGAAAGAAGGAAGCAAGGAAGGAAGGAAGGGAGGAAGGGAGATTGATTTTCATCTAACTTTGAAAAGTTTATCTAGCCCAGAAAGGTAATTGAGAGGCCAAAATAATCCCAAAGGCTCTGGGGGAATTACTGTACAATACCGACAAATGTTCAAATTCACCACCCACCACTAGGGGGCGGAGGGATGGAGTAGATGCCAGCCTGGAAGGGGTGGTTGCAGCATTTCTCTAAGGCAGCATCTAAGGTCACCTGTCCCTGGGTGTTGGGTTGGGTTTGAGGTCCAGTTTGCCTTGCTCTTCAAGAGACATCGGTCGTCCCTTTCTGAGGCTGGTTGGAGGGGACATCACTGCAGATCTCAGGAGGTCCCCTTCTTCCTAGGTACTCTCACCAATTCAAGGTGAGCTGCCAGCTATGAGATCAGAAAGCCATGTGCTGCTGTTTCTGATGAGCAAATGGGTTGAAGAAGCCCAGATCTCCCTGTGTGTGGGACTGGGCTGAAATACAGGACATAAAAGTATGAGCATTGGCATGTGCTACCGATGCAAAGATGGTTACTATCTATCTGCTTCTCCCTTTGCACGGCCAACCAGGGGACTGCCAAGTAGAAGCGCTTGTTGCTCCTGAACCCCTTGCCTTCCCTGGAGCCCTCATCTCTGAGTAAAGATAGAGCTGGCAAAGAGGGAAGGGAACAAGCACGTTCATTTCCTCCTTCTGGCTGTAGGAAGCTGAAGCCTTTCTGCCTCTTAGGCTGCCTGTGATGATTCTAAATGCTGTTTTCATGGCTGTTCATGGTTAATTACAGGAAGAATTTACAATCCTAATCTAGAATCCTCTCTCTGGTGCCAAATGTGTTCGATTTCTCTAAAGACAGCTAAGTTTTAAAATCTAAAATAAATAGTTTAATTGGGGTGGGAGGGATAACAGGCCCTCCCTCTCAGATTGCACAGAGGCAGTGTGGTAAAGGGAAGAGGGCTAGGACTGGATTCAAATCCTGTCCCATTTTAGCTGTGTGACATTGGACTAGCCACTACTCCTCATTTGTCCGCCCCAGCAGACAGGCCACCAGGTGACGAGTGAGATAATATATGAGCAGTTATTAAGAACCTGGTATGTGATGGTGGATATACTGATTAAAGGTTGGCCTTTGAAACCTTTACTGGATAATCGACATTGGTCAGGTCAAACTTTCAGGACATCAGTTTTCACATCTGTAAAACAGGGTTGATCAAGGCATCTAGTTCAGAAGATTTTTGCAAGGATTAAATTATAAATTTTGCTAGGATAAATTATAAGCTCTGTGGTTGGCCAGATCAAGAACAAAATAAGCATTAGCCCCTGTTATCATGAAGTATGGGAATACAGACTCCAGGATTTTAATACACTGTGAATGACATTTCAACAGCAATAGGATCCCTGTCCAGAGAGAAGTTGAAAATGTCAGCGTGGCTCTGCATTTTGCAGGGACAGAGGGGTGAAACACAGGTACCTCATCCAGGATCTTCTCAGGATGAGGAGGGACCCCAACAACGCCAGATGATGGGGAGGGACCAGCGCTGAGACTGAAGACTCCATGGCAAAGCTGGCTGTAGCGATGGTGGGGGCTGGGGATAAGGAGGTGGAGGGTTAGGAGCCCAATGATGTGGCTGACCCGGAAGGACATAACCAGTGAGGTCAGGGGGTGGGGAACATGGAAAAGATCCGTGAGAGGTGCAATTCAGGTATGTGGTGGCCTAGATGGGAAGGGTGTGGATCTCAAAGCAACCCCAAAGCTGGGTGAGATCATGTCTGGAACTACAGAAGGATGCGGCAGTTTATATTTAAGTGGCATGGACAAATAATACCCCTACCACTACACTGTCTATTCTCAATCAAGTTCTGTGGGAGAAAGTAAAAATTATGGTAGCGTTAAGTGCTATTCACTTTTTTTTTTTTTTTTAATTTTCGAGACAGGATCTCACCAGGTCACTGAATTTGCTCAGGTGGGTCTTGAACATGTGAACCTCCTGCCTCAGCCTTCCAGAGTGCTAGGCTGACAGGAAAGTGAGGCTTTCTGAAGGATTGCTTGGGCGTCCCGACTGCCTAGGCAGAAGTCGCTGAGTGTTTCCTGGTACCTGTCCAGTTCCTTCTGAGCTTCAAAGGGCTGTGGCTGAGAACTGGTCGATCCTATCCACAGCGCGCTGTGCCCATACTCTTCGGAAATGCTGAAGGTGAGGGCTGATGATGGCTCCGGCCAAGGCTGGGCATTCAGGCCAGGATCAAGCACGATGGTGGGACAACAGGGCCAGGAGGGGGCCGCTGGTGGATCCCCTCTCACCCCACGGCTGCCACGCTCCCGCAGAGGGCTCCAGGCCGTTGAAGGGCTGGACAAGGCCCTCTGCTGGGGTCGCTGTGACTGTGCAGTCTTCTGCATCCGGCGACTGGGGCGACCCCCAGTGTGCGCGGCTCCAGAGGGATTGATCAAATTTCCACTTTGCAGTGTTTCGGCTTTCTCCTCTTTGGGGCTGCAGATCTGGGGAGTGGAGGCTGGAACCCGGCGGCGGGAGAAGCCCCCAGGCGGCTCTGACCTCTGGCAGCTCCCCAGGTCCCATGGCAAACATCTGGCCTCAGAATTCCCAGGCCCGGGAGAAGCGTGTGCGCCAGCCCTTCCTGGGTTCTCAGTATTCTGTCTTCCTGGAAACAACCTCTCCTCTCCTTCCTAATGCCAATGAACTAGGTTCTACCCTCCCCCCCAGAAGGGCTGCGCTCTGTGCCCCGGGTGCCCCGAGCCAAAGCACCTCGCACGGTGCCCCACAGCGCCACCTAGGGGCCGGGCAGCACCTCCCTACTCTTCCCTTCCCGTCCCCCCACTCCGTGCTGCGCTAGGAGTCCGCCTCCCTCAGTTCTCCTGGC